GTTTTTGAAATGCTTTGCACCATTCCATTGACCAGTGTTATTTTGGGTTGCTCATTCTTTGTCATTCGTGGAAGTGAAGTTGTTTGCAGGTTGTCATTTTCCATTGTTGATGCAAGTATGTCATTATTTGAAATGTGTGGGTCTATGGCAGATTGTAGTGGAGTTTTCTGTTGAATTCTGTATGTTGTGGCCTGATTTAGGGTGGACATGAGAACAGTGGGTTGTACAATTTTCTGACTAGGTTTTGTAAATTTTCTGTTTGGGGCTCTGGAAATGTTGCATTGAATGTTTGACTCGTTGTGGTGCTCCTGACTGGGTGTTTTTTTGTGACTCTTGTGGTGGCAGATCAGTGGGAAAAGACATTATAGCTGTAGAATCATTTGTACCAATTATTCCAATTGAACGAATGATGGGTTCGGGAATTTTGTGTTGAGTTGATTCTTCAGCTAGTTCTGAATCTCCTGATTGAGTTGTTTTCTGTGAGTCTGGTAATGATGATTGAATGGGGAAAGATGCCACAGCTGTAGAGTTTTTTGTATCAGTAAAACCAGTGAAGTGGTCGATTTGTTCATGTATGGTAATTGAAGAAGGTTCTTCTGCTGCTTTGGAGGAGATTTTGATAGTGAATGTTGTGGAATCAGGGATGTGTTGCTCTGTAACTTCACTGGGTTCTATAATTTTCTGTATTGTGGTCTGGAAGTGTTGAGCTGATTGTTCAGCAAGTTGTGAATCTCCTGATTGAGTTGTTTGCTGTGAGTCTGGAAATGATGATTGAGTGGGGAGAGACACCATAGCTGTAGAGTTATTTGTACCATTACTACCAGTGAAGTTGTCGATTTGTTCATGTATGGAAGGAATTTTCTGTGTTTTGTTCTGGAGTCGTTGAGTTGATTCTTCAGCTAGTTGTGAATCTCCTGATTGAGTTGTTTCCTCTGAGTCTGGTATGGGGTAGAACGACATAGATGTAGAGTTATTTTTTGTACCATTAATATCAGTGAAGTGGTCGATTTGTTCATGAAGGGCAATTGAAGAAGGTTCCTCTGCTTTGGAGGAAATTTTGATAGAGAATATTGTGGAATCAAAGATGTGTTGCTCTGTAACTTCACTTGGTTCTATAAATTTCTGTTTTGTGGTCTGGACGCGTTGAACTGATTGTTCAACAAGCTGTGAATCTCCTGATTGAGTTGTTTTCTGTGACTCTGGAAATGATGATTGAGTGGGGAGAGACACCATAGCTGTAGAGTTATTTGTACCATTACTACCAGTGAAGTTGTCGATTTGTTCATGTATGGAAGGAATTTTCTGTGTTTTGTTCTGGAGTCGTTGAGTTGATTCTTCAGCTAGTTGTGAATCTCCTGATTGAGTTGTTTGCTGTGAGTCTGGAGATGTTGATTGAGTGGGGAGAGACACCATAGCTGTAGAGTTATTTGTACCATTACTACCAGTGAAGTTGTCGATTTTTTCATGTATGGAAGGAATTTTCTGTGTTTTGTTCTGGAGTCGTTGAGTTGATTCTTCAGCTAGTTGTGAATCTCCTGATTGAGTTGTTTCCTGTGAGTCTGGTAATGATGAGTGATTGGGGAAGGATGCCATAGCTGTAGAGTTATTTGTACCATTACTACCAGTGAAGTTGTCGATTTTTTCATGTATGGAAGGAATTTTCTGTGTTTTGTTCTGGAGTCGTTGAGTTGATTCTTCAGCTAGTTGTGAATCTCCTGATTGAGTTGTTTCCTGTGAGTCTGGTAATGATGAGTGATTGGGGAAGGATGCCATAGCTGTAGAGTTATTTGTACCATTACTACCAGTGAAGTTGTCGATTTTTTCATGTATGGAAGGAATTTTCTGTGTTTTGTTCTGGAGTCGTTGAGTTGATTCTTCAGCTAGTTGTGAATCTCCTGATTGAGTTGTTTCCTGTGGGTCTGGTAATGATGATTGAGTGGGGAGAGACACCATAGCTGTAGAGTTATTTATGCCATTAGCAGTGAAGTTGTCAATTTGTTAATGTATGGAAGGAATTTTCTGTATTTTGGTCTGGAGTCATTGAGTTGATTCTTCGGCTAGTTGTGAATCTCCTGATTGAGTTGGTTCCTGTGGGTCTGGTAATGATGAGTGAGTGGGGAAGGACGCCATAGCAGTGGAGTTATTTATACTATTAATGCCAGTGAAGTGGTCGATTTGTTCATGTATGGTAATTGAAGAAGGTTCTTCTGCTGCTTTGGAGGAGATTTTGATAGTGAATGTTGTGGAATCAGGGATGTGTTGCTCTGTAACTTCACTGGGTTCTATAATTTTCTGTATTGTGGTCTGGAGTCGCTTAGTTAATTGTCCCACTAGTTGTAAATCTTCTAATTTAGTTGTTTTCTGTGAGTCTGGTAACGAGTGAGTAGGGAAGGATGGCATAGCTGTAGAGTTCTTTGTACCAGTCATACCAGTGGAATGAGTACTTTGTTCCTGTATGCGAGCTGAAGATGGTTTCACCTCGATCTCCATGTTCTTTGGCCCTTCTGGTGTTGTAAATTCCAGTTTGTCTGGTCTCATCATTAATGGTTTGATGGTGTTTGTATCGTTGTATCCACTGAAGTGTTTCTGCATTGGTGGGGTCCGAGTTTGTGGTCGAAGAGATGCTCAGTGACAGCAAAATGGCCAACAGATAAAAGAACAAACAAGGTCTAAGTAGCTCCATGTGTAATATTTGATATTTATGGCTATAGAGAGAGAACAAAACAGACATAAAATTTAACCTTATATTTTAGATATTAAACAGGGTTTATTTTTCATATAAAATATTGTTTCTTCAGGAGATTGTCCTTTTAATATAGTACGTATACAATAACTTTGTCCATTCACATTACAGTTTAACTATCTACAACTGTTCAAGTTATTTATTATGTATGCATATTTTAAATATTATTTATTTGCTTATTTTAACCAACAGTGTGTTTTTAGCCAGTCAGAAATACATAATTGAAGAACTATAAATATTACAGCATTATATTTATAGAGTATAATGGTCACATTAATTTTTCTTTTTAAAAGGTTATTCGATCTTAAATCCTTCCCAGTGGTGTTTGACTTCAGTGCTGCTTACAAAGTTTTCTAACTGGAATTTTTAACCAAATTACACTCAAACTAAGTTTCTTTGGCAAAATGTGTCTTACCATTTCTAGGCTGTTCCTCTGTCTCTCTTCACAAAGATCAGAATGATAAAGTCAGAGGAGTCGATCCTTTTATCAACTGACCTGGATGGTTTGCTTTTCTATTTATAACATGCTGAGAATATAATGCAGTAGATCACGTGATCATGTGTTAAATATGAATGAATAGCAGAAATGTGGGTATAGCTGTAAAATGATGTATTTTCTCGTGGTGGTGTTATGCTACAAAATGATTGGATAATCTGATTGTTTTCAGAGAAAATAATTATAATTCACTTAAAAAAATTCTTACCATATTTGGCATATAGTTTTTTTGTTCTTTTAAGGATAAAAAATAAAATCAATAAATAGATATACTCCCAAAAAATAGTCTTATCATACATGCTTTTGATTTTCAAATACATATATCTCATTTAAGGATGTTTAAGGATTTTTTTGCATTGTGTAGCGAATCAGCTCATTGGGGAAATATTAATAATTAATCATAACTAGTTATAATTAACTATAAATATTTAGATCCGCTGTAAGTATTTACTTGACCTCTCAGGGTCAACTGTCTGTCAATTCTAAGAACGTTAATTTCCTGGTTAAAGGAAATAACTTTCTTACTGTACAATTCTACACAGAGCCTGTAGCATAAATCTGCATGATTAAGGGACTCCAGTTATGAGCAAACAATGAACAACGTCAAGTGTGATACAAGTAAGACTTTATTAACTACATAAACACTTAAACTAGTCTAACATACTACATAAACACTTAAACTAGTCTCACATACACATACACACGCACACACACACACACACACACGCATACAGTTGGTATAGGAAAAGGAGTTAAAGTTTAGGCAGTAAAAAGAAGAGAAATAAGAATATGAAACTATGGTACCATTTGATATTCAGCAGATCTACAGCCTGAAGGAAACATCAGATTCTTAGTTCAAACACACCTTTGTAAAAAGGTGCAAACGATACCTAATGTATCAATTAATAAGACTAAG